ACCGATGAGTGACCAAGCTCGACACTCCTCTCCGTCACCAATCTAAAAGGCGAATCAGTCATGAGAGTCAATCAAGGACTTAATATAAGCTTACATCCCGAAAACAAATAATTATTAGGGCCTGTAGGTTCTCCACTGTCAGACTCTTGGTAGCTTTGGATACCACCCAGTCTCTCACAGCTTCTTGGTCGCCAATGAGACTCTGTGTTATTTCGGCGATGTCTCTCCTGGGAACGTGGTACGAGGCACTTAACATCATGGCCTGGAGGACAGGGAGCAGACATCGGTCGTCCCCATGATCTTGACATCTTTGGCGAAATCGGGCCTCGTGTATCATTGGAATCCATGGGTGTATCTGCCGAAAGTACGCGTCTATGACCAGATCTAGGATGACATCATCGGGTAAACCTGGCTGATTGACGGCATACTGAGACCTTTCTCGATACCCGACATGTTCTTCTGTTCGACGACGTTTACATGTCGAATCAATAGAAGCTTCTGGAGAAGCGGTAAGGGTAGGATTGCCGAGTTTGCAAATCTCACGGGCAAGAGAGGATAGTAGACTCTGTCTATCTACAGCTTCTTGTCGTGAGCTCGCCTGAGTAGTTGACGCCTCTTTGTCGCGAAGGGTTTCTAACTCTTTCTGTTGTTTTGAGATCGTCCGTTCCAATGTATCTTATATCTGATCAGTCATAATATCGTGGTAAATGGGCACTGACCGCACCAAGCCGTTTGTGCACGTTTTCGATGGCGCCGCCTTTCATGCCGGGTCTGGCGCGCTTTGTCTCGTAGACGCAATCTTGTCCTGGCAGGACTTGTCAGATATCTCGTTGTGAATAGGAGCATTATGTCGCCATACCTGTCTTGCGACAGTGTTCGCAGATTGGCGTCTCCCGTGAGCATCGAAGCTTACGTTTCCGACAGCAGTTGCAAGCAAGCCCTGCATCGGGGGCTTGAGCAGTCTGCTCCGGCTGAGTGGGGTCGTCGTTATCCATCCTATCGCCTTGCAAAGAGTGAAAGCACGCCGTACAGTTGTATGTGAGTGTCAAAGATGAGAAGACGGGAGTTCAATTCTCCCGAGTTATTTAGCCCGGGGGCCGCTTGAGATACCCCGAGGTGCCGAACATCCCCGCACGTTGATGGTGATTGGCTTATGCTAACCTGGATCGATAATCGGACCAATATTCACCGAGCTCATCTAAATTAATCCAGCTCTCTCAAAACTCATATTGTTCTTGATCACGATTGGTAATCTGGGTCACCCTTTTTCTCTTCGACGACATCATAATTCGTGTCTCGCCCATCAGCCTGCCATGCCTGGATTACCCGGCTTTTCTGATAATCCCTTCCGGGATCGTCATGATCTTATACGTGCAGCCACCGCTATTATCAAACCATTGGGGCAATACAGGTCCAAGTCCAACGCTCGCGTGAAGCTGTTTCCATCGACTGCTGCGGGCTTTGACGATGTCGCCGCCCAGCTTGAAGGTTTTGCTCGTCCACTATGGGCAATATCAAGCCTCGTGGATAAGTCCACGGACCCTTCACTGCGTTCCTGGCTCCGCGGCATTGAGGCTGGTGTCGATCCAGAGAATCCCGAATACTGGGGTCATCTCGGATCTTTTGACCAGCGCATGGTGGAAATGGAATCAATAGCTTTCGCCTTACTGACGGAACCTCATGTGATTCTGTCATTCTTAAACCCTGAGTCTACGAAGAACCTGGAACAATGGTTGCAACAAATTAACAAGTTTGATATGCCGCGAAACAATTGGCGGTGGTTCCGAGTTCTGGTGAATTTGGCACTGACGAAGGTACTGGGGTCCGACAAAGAGAAAGCGAGACAAGCCATGGATGCCGACTTTGAATTGCTCGATCAGTTCTATCTCGGAGAGGGATGGTCGTCGGATGGTGTTTGGGGGGACGACAGGAAGCAGGCAGATTACTACTCTGGAAGTTTCGCCATCCAATTCGCACAGCTACTGTACGTCCACTGCGCAGTAGATGACGTGAAAAGAGTCGCGAAATATCGACAGCAAGCGATAGAATTTGCGCCTGAGTACTGGAGATACTTTGACACAAACGGTGCTGCTATCCCCTTCGGTAGAAGTATGACTTACCGATTCGCCTGTGGAGCTTTCTGGTCTGCTCTTGCTCTCTCCGAAGTCCATTCATCCGAGCTTCGACTTAGCCTGGGTACAATCAAGGGACTTCTCCTGCGGCACTTGCGATGGTGGGCGAAACAACCAGAGATCTTCAATTCAGACGGTACAATGAATATTGGTTATGCATACCCCAACATGTACATGTCAGAGGATTATAATTCCAGACAGTCTGTGTACTGGTGCTTGAAGTCTTTCGTCGTGCTTGGGCTACCATCAGACCACCTATTCTGGACCGTCCAAGAAGAACCCCATCCAATCTATGGCGTGATTCCAAGCGCCAGACACCCCGACACTGCAAGGACCTTTCCAGCACCTCACCAGATAGTATGTCACTCTGAAGAGCATCATTATCTTCTATCAGCGGGACAGATGACTACTAAAATGTTCAAAGCCAGAGAAGCCAAGTATGGAAAGTTCGCATACTCTTCTGCCTTTGGATACAGCGTACCAACTGGCATGGAACTCCACCAAATTGCACCCGACAGCACTTTGACTGTGAAATTGGATGAAGATGGCCCGTGGAGGGTCAGGTCGCAGCCGGTCGATGTTCGTTTCGACACTATACTTATTCACTCTGCAAAAGGCCGTGGTCATCTTCCTTCCACTACTAGCACGTGGAGACCAGTCGAGAGCGTGGACATAGCAATCCAGACGACTCTGATTCCTTTAACTTACCACTACCCGGGATGGCATCTCCGTATCCATCACATAAGAGGCCTTGGAGCAGTCAATGGCATCCCGTGGTTTAACAGCTTCGAAATGGTGGACAGCTCCTTCGCAGTAGACGCGCTCACGGATGCGGGGTATCATATTTCCGCGAAAGACACGTCAAAGATTAAGCATCACGGGCAGTTCGCTGAAGGTTATGTTACTGAGCAAGCTAGCGTCCTGGTCAAATCTCGACGCGGAGTCAGTGGCATTGTTGATCTGACACCAAGCATCCGCCTCAAAGAAGGCCTTGCCCGTGATCAAGCGAAGCTAGGACGCAGAGGTTATCTGATTCAAGCAGATCCCAACACAAATCTAGTCGCACAGAAGACGTTGATCCCGTCCATTCGGTGTTCTGGTGCAGGTGCCATGGGTGATCAGTCCAACGTGCCCGTCGCGTCGGAGGCTCCACTATCAGCTTTTGTTGCAACTGCAGTGTTTGGCGTTAGTAACGTGAATCAGAGCATGGAGTATGTGCCTAACGAATGGTACTATCTCCAGGACGATTGGGGCTATATGAATATGTTAGAGGTTGATATAACATCAGCTGGTGAAACACATATCAGCATTCAACAGGCAACACCTTCTCAAGCGCTGGAAAGACAACCTCTATAGGCATTGAAGAAATATCTTCATGTCCACCCTAAAATTTGAGCATTGGTCTTAGACGACGAAAAGACCCAGATATGGGTTTTGTTCCGCTTTGAGAAGCAGCCCAGCCCTCTCTGATTGGCCAGATCAAGCCCACTGCGCGATTGAGGAGCTCGATAAGGTCAAACCGACTGGCAACTTCAATTAGACAACACAAGGCTCTTTCAATTCAAGCTGGAAAGCTCGTTGTGACCAATCTACGCTTTGTACAATAGGTTCTACCTGAGCACATAGTTGCGTCATGTCGGCATTGGCGCCTCGCTTAGGTAGCCAATTAGAAGCTTGTAATTGCAGCCTTCAGAGGGCAAACACGCTACGCAGAGGGGTTAGCAATAAACGTTGTTTAGTTTCCAAACCCTTAACCATTTTTCCATTCTGTGAATTTCATTGCAAAGGGCGTAACTTAGGCCACAATAATGCCGCCTACCGAGAGGCCACTGCCCTTTATCTTACCCAAAGAGCCAGCGGCTAATGAAGGCGGGGTAAGCTCCAGAGCATCCCTATCAAACTTTTCAGGGCTTCCACGCAAACGTCAAGCGGTAAGCCAGGCATGTGAAGGTATCAGTGTATCATGAGAAGCATACCCCTGGTTCCATTTCGCTCCTGTAAGCTAACGGACTGGCAGGCTGTCGAAAGCGAAAAGTCAAGGTAACCCTCCTGACTTCGTCGCATCCGTTTTGAAAGATAGCTGACAGAAAGGCTGATGATAGTGTGACGCTTCTCGGCCTCAATGCAGACGCTGTGTAGAAAAATCGGTGGAATGCCACTATACGTCTTCACATACTGACCAAAAAGGTCAAGCTGCAAGTTATCGGGCCGTTGTTGACTTACTTCACGGCCGAAGTCAAAATGAGTCATTGGAGATTCTGAACAGAATCCGAGAGACGGATGATGTCGAGGGACCGTCAACTTGATATCTGAGGCACGACTGTTACTACCGGACAACCCAGGATCGATAACAATCCCCATCATCAGACACAGTGGAGAAGCAATGGCTCCAGCCGTTGGGCATCTGCCATCTAGAAAGAGGCGACTTCATTCACCGTTTGACTCCCCCTCAAATGGAAAGTCTAGGACTATCAAGCTGACTATCACTATAGACAGGATGATTCCGATTTCATGTTCGAGAAACAATTTGTGACTCACGCATCAGAACAATATGCTGACAAGGACATCTTTGTGGACATCTCTGACGATAACCTGCCTTACTCAAGATGGACTAAAGTGTCTGACGATAACCAGCTGATGAACCACTTACTCAGAATGTTTTGGACTTGGGATAATATCGTGGAAAGGACCCTTTACCGTCCAATGTTTGAAAGAGACCTTGTTACCATGGATCCAAACTTAGCAGACAACGGCTCCGGATCATTTTGTTTGCGATTCCTAGTTAATGCATTGCTTGCCCTCAGTTGCGTGAGTCTCCCACCAGGCACTTTCTGCTACATATTTTGACCAGTCTTCAAGCTGTACACAATGAACTCCAAGACCTTTCAAGATACGGGGGATCCCATAACTAGGGGACGCTACTGGGCTGATGAGGCCGAAGCTCTACTGTCCACCATCGAACAAGGCACAGTTTCGTTTCCCTTACTCCAAGGGCTACTGGCCATGTTCTGTTACGAAGGAAACCTTGGTCTAGGCACCAAAGCCCTGCCTTATTACTTCCGTGCCATGGATGTCTACAAGGGACTCAACAACGTAGACATCACTAAGCAACAATTAGGTGTCGACGAGGAGCGTACTAAACAGGGAAGAGTAGCTAGTTCATGGTGTATCTGGGGATTTTATTGTTGTGAATGGTAACCCTCAAATCTTCCATGGTGTTCATGTTATCGCTAATATCCTGGCAGGCGGGGAACCCAAGCGCTCGGCCTCCGAAAGTTAACACGCAAACCTGTATTTCCCAAGGTCTGGCGTGAACCTGACTTTCCTCTTCTGTTACCGACCTCTAGTAATTACTGGTGGTACCCGTATCCAATATCCCTCCAGGTCCAAAAGTCGCTGAAGGTGGAGATCAGGGAGGTTGATGCTCTACTCTCTGAGGTAGTCGAAGAAGCTTTGGACTTCATCTATCCAGACGAGAACGAAGCACCGTCAAAGAACCCACAGCTTGCATTGCAGTTTTATAGATCAATAGTGAACTGGAAACAAAACTGTCCGAATCAGCTTCGGCTTGAGGATGCCGTTCTGCCATCTGCAATACTGTTACAGTGAGTGAGAGGCCAAGAAGGGCTGGAACAGGTAGCTAAAAAGACATGACAGTATATCGGCAGAGGTAATGCTGACAGCCATCTTGCGACCTTTTACCAACATGAACAAAGCGCAATTTGGGAAATTCGACCCCAGGGAACGATGCTACGCCCACGCCAGCAACCTTGCATCCGCGATCTGGACCTACCGTAGCTTTGCCGTTATTCGCTTCGAGTATTGGCTCACCCACGCATTGGGGACAGCGGCATACATCGTTGTAGGCGGGACCGAGGACGCACCGGTTCAGATGGATACCCTAACCCGAGCTTGTCAGTGTCTCTTTGAGATGCGGAGCACCTTGCCTCTGGCAACAGACATCTTGTGCGGCATTCGTATTGCGCACAAGCAGTCGAAAGAGAAAATTCCGGCTTTTATGGATAGGTTCTTTGACAGGATCATTCACAGGAAAGATGGCTTGATGCATCATTCTGTGGCCTCCTTACTGCCAGACTCGATAGATATGACGCAAAACAGTAGCAACCAAGACATTCAACTTCAGGAACTTCTCAATAGATTAGAGGACATAGGTGTTGATTAGTCGTTAAAGCTTATGACATCTCAACGAGACATCTCAAGCCATCACACTGAAAACTATCAATTCACTTCAGGTGTTGATTGACGAGTCCATTGGAAGCAAACGATAGGTCGTGTCTATAAGACAAGGACGCTCTTTATGTTCTAGTACCTAAGAGGATCTAAACAGGTATAGAAGGAATCTATTAGTCTTAGTAACAACCTGATATATTAGACCAGCCCCATACTCAGAAGAAGATTTCCAAACTCGACAAGATAATAATCGCCATATACCAATCCGTGATTAGCATATCGTCTCCTCGCGTTTTCATTGTTGTTAGCTGTCCCATGCTTCAAAAGAGCATCAAAGGTGGTCCCTAGGACAGCGTCTTCCACTTTGACGGACTTTCCACCGTCTTCAGAGGTAGTCACCACGACTTTCTCCGTAGCGAGACAAACATCTAACGTGTCCTTGATGATTTCAATAGATGCGTCGAAGAAGTGGCCTGACAACGTGTATCTTCCCAACCCAGCAAGCGCCTGAGATATCAATAACATTCCATTGGCAGCAATGACACCAGCTGACGAATCACGAAGAGGCTCTCCAGGATTCTCAATGGGCGCATCGAAGTCCCAGAGCGGCACATGTCGCCCTCGGCGAACGCTTTTGTGTCCTGAACTGTACTGAACCGGAAGCTCCACACAAGAAGGGGATGTCTCTAGTCTATGCAGGAAGTACTCGGCGCATCCGCAAGTTGCGTCGAGGAACCTTTCCTTTTTGGTCCAGTTGTAAGTTTGTGCATAACCAAGGATAGCCCACGCTTGACCCCTCGACCATGTCGAATCATCCGTATAGCCCTGGGCTGTCCGTCGCCATTTCAAATCTCCTGTTTTGGGGTCAATGTTGGCAACATGGCAAGTTGAGTAGAGTTGCCCCTGATATCCGCGCTTGAGAGTTGAACTCGCAGTCTCTTGTCGAAGATGCGTCTTCAATAATGTTGTTGCATGGGATGAAGCAATGTCAGCGAGTCTCTGTTCACCCGTCTGTGCAGCAGCATAGAATAGCAGGTCAAGATTGCACATGCTATCAATGATGGTGAGTAGATTGTTCTCCATATCTGTGACGGTGATGTCCTTCTTCAGAAGGCAGTCCCAGCTGCGAATGGCACCAGCAGCTAACACATAACGGGTAGCCAAGTTGTGAGCTGCTTGTATGATAGAACCTAAACTTCTTTCACTTCCGAATAGTTCAAAGTCTCTGCGGAGGGCCGGCATGATGATAAAACCAATGTCGTGGGTGTCTGTTCTGCTAGCCATGGCATGAAGTGGCTCAGACCATGACTTGCATAACGGGAGTAAATGGCCCCTGGTAATCATGGATGATCCGTGTCCGGGGCTGCCGGCCCTAATCGATCCCGGGTATCTGATGGATCGCTCGAGCAACGTGTACAGTATTCCCGGGAAAAAACCACATGTCCAGAACTCAGGTTCGCGAATTTCCCATCGCCCTAGCTTCGGGCCCTGCTGGGGCACGATTTCGGGGAAACCACGGTGTGCCGGGTCAAAGCCCTGCAAGACCCTACTCGCTGCACGATAGGGTTTGGCAAAAGTATTCTCATCAAAAAGATCTGATAGAACTTTGTGTAGAGCAGGTCTCTCATGACTGCTTTCTGCTGCTTCTTCTGACCAGGAGGTTTCACTCAAAGATGCATGCTCATACTCGATCGTGGATGATACAGACGAATCGCTGCATATCATGTCACCACGTTTGGCAGTAGCTACAAATGGTTTGCTAGCTGCAATTGAGGTGTCTTGTAGTAATGGAATCATTATGGAAATTGCATGAAAATTCAAGGATAGAATCTGCAGTCGCAACCTCCAAGTTCAAGGCCAGATGTTTATCTAAATGAGTTCTCACTTGTAGTCTAAATGCTAGCGCTTACTAAAATGGCATTGCAGGTCATTCCCATAGTTGAAGTGGACCGACCGTCTGAGATAGCCCGCTTCCCTCTGGTGGCGGAGTATCTAGCTCGGTCTGCGGACGAATTCGGATGCTGCCTCACACTAATTAGCTCTTCACAAATAAGGCAACCAACACAACCCATAGTTGCAGTAAGTTTAATTTTCTCGCGGGGAACCAGGACTATACTCTTCGTGACCTAAACTAATAGGCAAATTTAATGATGTTATAGTCGAGGTGAGGCGTGCCATGCAAGCATTAGCTTTCGGTCCACTCAACTTAAAATAACGCTCCCGCGAACCTATCCCATGCAGCATACTAATTAAAGGCATAATTACCTGAGATGCCCTAATGCCTATCAGAAGTCGGGGTCAAAAGCGTTCTCATGCCCGATTTGCATTTCGCCCCTACTCCCCCATCCTTTCTAACCAACCAGCATCTAACCCAATGTCCATCCTCCCAGAACCTTTGTCCGAAAGGCCAATCATCAGTCCATTCACCCTGAAGAAACTCTATACTGTCGAAGTTCTTGCCGACCTTGGCCTTTATTAGACCTTGGAACAAATTAAGACCTTCTTTGACATCTAAAATGGAATCTAATGTATGTGTCTTCTTATCTTTATAGCCAGTATTGTTTATCAGTAGCTTTTTATCTAACAAATTTAGATTAACAACCAGCCTTCTTAATTCGGGTAAAGTCTCAGTAAGGATGTTCAGCTCTTCTTGAGGTAAGGTCCCGTTTCTTCGTTCGAGATTAATTGTAAGGCTGGTTAAACCAGGTGTCCATTTACAAAGGCTGTGCAGCTGATCCTCACTTAGTATTGGCCTGGGCTTGAATCCCCTCTTATGGTTCGTCCACTGGAGATGTTATAGCGAGGATCCGTGATGCTTTAAAACAGGGTTGAAGATATCCTCATGGACAGTTTCACTCTCCTTCCAGATAAGCTTCTTCAATGTTGGAGGTAATGCCAAGATAAAATCGAGGGCAGGAGGAGGCGGTGAAGAAGACCACTTGTTCTTTGGTAATGGCCCTGGGGCAGCTTCCCAGTCTGCCAGATGTTTTCTCCAATTTAACCACCGAACTTGAATAGAGAGATTCTCGAGACCTGTTAATGCTCGGGGAAGATTAACGAGTAAGCTTTTCCCTTCTGGCCGAGTGTTCCCATACTCGATTGACAAAGTGTGCAACTTGGAGAAGTCCATAGCGTCCAACCAGAGCTGCATGTTGTCCCTTGATAACCTTACAATTGATGTATGTCGTCGATCATACCTGCTTCGTGCAATTCCGTCTCCATGCCATGCAGAGTAGCCTGTCAGGCCAGCGGGATATTTGAATTTGTACGACAGCTCATCCCATTTCCATCGGCCGCGATAACATATTTCTGTTGCCCATCTTATAACAGCATTTGTGGAACTCGACACTGGTCATGTGCCATCATCGTTTGCCCAATGTGGTGTTCCTGACCGCATATATTCCAACTCAGACTTTTGAAACTCGTAGTCATATAGCGATACTACTTGTGGCGGCGAGAGATAGCGATCGCTTCCGTCGGGCCGGAATGGCAGATTGTAATAATCGGGAAACTCTGTTCAACTTGGCCCACCGTTCCTCAGGTCGAGCTCAGTGATGTTGCTGCATGTTTTCATGGCGTTGTGCACAGCTTCCCATCTGCCGAATGGCTGGTATGATGGCACGATTGATCGAAGAATCGAAGGATAGGGGTCTTTGCCAGTCCACAGTGGTGGCTCGGGCCATCTGCTCGCGAATGCGGACAAAAAGGAACATGCAAGGAGCAAAGACCTAGTTAAATACCTCCTGGCTGTTACTTGCGACATTTCTCATTAGTTCTGTTAATATTGTAGAAGTAAGATTGCGGATTTTCGAAGGATTTATAATGTTGCTGACGACGTGTTGGCTAAGAACACGGCGTTGTCATTTATTACCTATTTTCACAGCCTAAAGCTTAACCTTATAGGCGACTGTTAAATCACATAGTATATTGCTTGCAACTCCTGTAATATAGAGATACACTACTCCTTTGCAGAACCTTGCCCTGGAACTGAAAACAGATTGAGGTTGCATGGACCGTAAAGATACTAACGGCCAGGTATATTATGGCATTTTGCGGGCCACTCAGTTTGGTCCATGGCTGGATAAAAAAGCTAGGCACGCCCCCATCAACAATGCGCACAAAGTTGGACAATTGACTTGTGATAAGGTTAGGGTTTTAAAAGAGGTTTAAGCCCCCAGGGCACAAATGTAATGGACACTAATAAACAAATACGGGCAAAATACCCCTTGCCCTCACTATTGCCTAGGATCTAGATTTTGGCTGGGAAGCTAGAAATCCTGATGGACAGTTGGACAATCCCGTCCTCCAGCTCAGGATAGGAGCCAAGAGCATAGCCTAGACCAATGGGAGGGCAAACATCGGTCTAGAAGCCGATGAGAAAAAGTCCAATACATGGCAGGATAGAGTAGACATCTGTGCTGGCGCCGACGCCGTACAGAAGTCAGCCAGTTGCTGCTAGAAGTGGCACTAGGAGGTACACTCAAAGCTTGTTTTCGGGCTCGCAAATTCCATTCCTCTCGCGGGCCTATGAATTAGTAGCTAGTCGGTCAGTGTACCGCCAATAAGCACTTTCATAAAGCTTCCAATCATGGGAGGGTATATACATAAGGACCATTCGGGCAGCTGTGAAGTTATAAGGTGGAATGGAGAAGAAGCTTGCTTGAGTGGTCATAATGACACTCGTGACAAGAGTCGATATGGTGATCTGGCAACTTGCCCATAGGGCATCAGGAAGGCACTACTAAGACATCCATTCAATTATCATTGCGATATTTAAAATGAACGTCCAGGTGATATAACGCCACCCAGTTAGAATTAAAGGTGTATACCATATAGCCCTAACTTTATAAACTTATTTAAAAGCCTTATTAAGTAACGTTCTTAGATTACACTAAAATACTTAAGGGGCTCAGGCCAGTAATATTAAAAGCTATAATGCCAGAAAGGATTATAGGTAGGAAGTTAAATGGCTTTCTAGAGTAAATATAAATATTTTTATATATAGAATAGCAGAAGTCTAGCTATTATTAATATTAATAATATAATAATTTTTCATATTTTAATATAACCTATTATTTAAGAAAGTAATTAATATAGATATATATAGTAGTGCTAATAGATATCTTTAAATTAGGCAATTAAAAGGTTAGGCTTTCTAAAGGTATCTATAAAGGCATTAAACTTCTACTTAGGAATAGCTATTACAGCCTGTAAGACTCTATAATAAATATTATCTTTATTGATATTATATCAGTACTTAACTACCTTATCTTAAAGATCTTTTGGCTGTTTGTTGGTATTTGGTGTAGATTCCTTAACTTGTAGAGGTTTTGGCTCATCTCTATGCCTGCCTAATACCCTATTGGGCCCTAACCTATAGTTTATTCTCCCTTAGCCTTATATTAAGTGTTCGCTTTATTAGAAGTCTACAGGCCTGTTGGGCCTAGGAGGGCAAGATGGGCTGTGTTTTGAGTCGAAGAGTTCGGCTTTAGAGAAAAGAGAAACGTCGAACTTACCTAGGGTATTATTCGAATTGGTTGGACTAAGTGAAGAGACTGTAATGCCAGCCAGGAACTTGCTACGGTGAACCTGAAGCCCGGGGGTTGAGGAAGTAATACCAATAGTCAGACTGCCTCCTGCCATGCTGACACAATCGAATGACATAACGGGATCGGTAACTAACCCACACTGCGCGAAGACAAGTTTCTCAAGTCTTAGGCCACCACCTTTCGGTGAAGATACAGAAGCAATAAAGTCCATGTTGGGCAGCTCATATGTGTACAATGTCTCTGTGCCCTCTTGATATTGGCAATGAGACATGGTATCTTTGATCCTACCTAACCTCGACTATGCTATCTTGAGGATATTTTTTGGCTTTAGTTACTATCTCATTACTGAAAGAACTCGTAAGGTCCATGATGTACCGTTGATTAATAACTGAGTGAGTTATATAGCTCTCGATTGTGTTCAGTTGCTTATACGGCGTACAGCTAGTCAGAAAGTAGATGTGGTCGGCGCTATCTCTTTTTGAGGCCCCTATATGCCTTATCACTAATGAGAGCTTTATGGAACTAAATCCACTCTCATAGTCTCTGATATTATGGGTGGGAGAAATGCAGATAAGAGAGTGGAGCAGGGCTGTTAAAGTGCTGCACTCTTGAATGACAACTGAAAGCTCTTTGGTAGGAATCGCAATAATACGAATACAAGATTGAAATCGGTTACTGGTGTTGTAGACATTGCGGCCCCAGCCCAGATTGGCTTTCCAAACGAGCTAGGCCCATCGCAAAGGCCACAACTGCATGACAGACAATCGACGGGGTTTTTCATAGCTGCTGAAATATTTGGCCTTGCTTTTAGCTTCATGGGCCGATGAGGCAGTTGCCTTGAATCTGAAATGTACTTCAGATTGTCTTATAGTGAGGAATGAAAGGTGACGGCGCTCATACCATCAACAATGACGTGATGGGCGAGAAACGCGATACCTAGCCTCGAGAGAGACACATACTGGGGATTTGGAAAATCCGAGTCGCGGACATGCTTCACCATAACAATTCTCCAGTCTAGTTTATCAGGAGAAAACAACTCAGCATGCTCCTATCTAAGAACTTAGGCCAGGTGTTGGGAAACGGGACTGTGTTTATATATATCCTTCCTGCCACTTCGCAAGACTACAGTTGCCGGAAGATCCATATCGCCCAAAGGATCATGGAAACCGGGCTCACACTCAAATCAATCGGGTTGGTTTGCCAACAAGACAGGGGCCTGTCACTTCCTTGTCAGCTTACGGTTCAAGCATTTCAAAATTTTATTCAAGGAGGCTAGAATCTGTCTATATCTTAGCAGTATAACCGTCTATTTTTATTCACTGAAGGAATGGACCTACAGACTGAAAATCTCTATCTTAAAACCTCCTCGAACTATAACTATTTATCGCGCCGAAACTATTGTTTATTTTGACTATGACCCAGGGCGCGGAATATGCGGAAAACCCAGCGTCATCTCGCTCTCTGACTCGCAAAGACTTTTTCTCCTGCTATTAAAATACTTTGAGGGATGAAAAACGTGAAAGCCGATGCTGACAATAGCCATGGGAATTGCATCGAGGGCATAGAGATACACCTCTTTAGATTGCAGCTCTCCATCACGTCCTTCAACGTACTCAATCATTCGAAAAAGCGATCGTACGAGGATGAGTGCGCTTGCTACGGAAATGACGACCATGAACTTTTGCCAGCCGTAAGGCTGTACTAGAGACTTGTTGAGAAATAGGAAGTGGAACGATGTCGCCAGCGCAATAAAGAGGGTGAAAAACACGAGCTGTACCATTATGCCAGCAGTTACAACGCTTTCTACTGTCGTCTCGTTGTCTGCGGTGTCAACCTTGACGAACTTTCCACCATCTGAAAACCATTAGTCATGGCTATTATTTGACTGATATGCAGACTTACCAACCGCTTGCAGCGCAATTGATACTATGTCGCCAACGAGGAAGACTTTCGTCAGCCAGTTCGGCTTAAGCAACGAGAACTGCTCCCCCTCCAATTTTCGGATGTATCGTCCCAGACCCATGTAGATGGATGCAGCATAGCATGTGGGTCCCAGAAGAAGAAGTAAATTCTGTACAACACAAGGACCAAAGGTGTAGTTCGGCGATTCCTGGGCACTGACTGCGCGACTAACAAAAGCGATGGCCTCGACTGATGAGTAGACTCTGTTAGCCATCGGTCGAAAAGAGCGGGATAAATAGGCGGACTTACACAGTGAGCCAACTAGAAATGGCACGAAAAACCATGTTCTTGTTCTAATGGTTTGGAAGAGCTGAACAGCAAATGACAGGATAAAGATGACTGCAAAAACCGTTGCTACAGGAAGAGAAGGTTCGTAATAATAATAATTTACCATTATGTCGTCAATCACTAGCGACAGGAAATAAGTATAAAGTAAACAGAGCGAAACAGGAGTTCCAGTTGTTAATGCAAAGAGGCGTTCTTATGAAGACAACAAGACAAAGAGATATCTCAGTCCTAGGCAACTTCGGACATATCCCTAGGTATAAGTAGTGGAAGCGTCAATAAAAGTATTTTGATTCAAAATGAGAAACTCCTGGACATTACGTATATCCCTGCTATCATAAAGACGGAAAGTTATTATGATACACATTAAGTATGTGTTTCATACTTACAGATGCTCTGATTGGTTTCCTAATGACCAGATAATCATCAGTGTGGAGACGCTCTCGGCAGAGGTGACTTTAGTTAGCGCAGATCCATTTTTCCTTCACCCTTCATTACCGAAACAGGCACGATCAAGCTTTGGCTCTGGGCGCCATGCCTCCAGATAAATGGTAGCTAAGGAATGTCTGATATTTGTTGTAGCCACTAGTCTAGCTCTGCCGTGTTTGCACTCAGTATCTGAGGCACGGAAAATTGTTCTTATCTTATTTAAATCTGGGTTTCTTACCGGGACTATATATTTAGCGGCAGGTTGCATTCCTTCCAACCTTAAAACTGCACCTTTACTAATAATAAAAAAAATCAGAAGTCTTAAATTAAATTGGCAAGAAGATGGTATTTCTACCCTTTAGCAGTAAAGTTCTATAATTAAACTATTATTTAAATACCTATATAATTATAGAGCTTTTTAAGATAATAGCAGGAGCTAGTATTAAATTAAACTCTTTAAGGCTATTTTTCTATAACCTTGCCTGTAAAAATTGGGTTTAGTCTTTTCCTATAGTATTCTGGCAGCTATTTGCGTTAAGTCTGGGTTTCACAGCTTTCTGCCTGCTGTCTTAGGCCAAACCTAAAACTTGGAATCTAAGCCTAGCCAAATAACAAACTTTAGTTGTTTGAACTTGGGTAATGTCTGTATCACCAAAGTCCTCAATTCCTTATTGGATGGTGGGTTGGATAGGTCCTCTAATACAGGTTCCAAAAATGCGCATAAGTAGAACTACTTAACTGGCACTATCATTAAACGCCATCTAAACCAAATACACATAACGAATAGTACAACACTGTTACCTTACATTCGACCAACCATCAAGCAGCCTCGGTGCAGTGTAATTCTCCTAGTGGCATCTGCCACTAAAAGTCTGATATTAAGGGCGTTTTGGCAATTAATTCACTCAAAAGCCTCTCAACACCGCCTTGTTAGCGAGAAGTGTAGTCTTTATGTCCGTTTTGGTACATGCTCTGTATTCCGAGGCTTGATTTCTCTTCGAGTAATTATCAGTCTAACAAAGTGCAGGTTCCCTCCTATGTTTACCAGCGTTGACGTTGCCGCACCTAGTGTGACTGCTGCCAGTCTTATTGTAGCCGTGAGTATCTTTCCTATCATGCTCATACAATGACACGGCCAGTTACACCCATGATATAAAAACAGTGGTTTGGTTTAAGCCATGGCTATTAAGTATATAACTGGTCTGACTTATCTAATAAAATAAAGCCTATTATAACAACTGCATATAGCATTAAAAGAATAAAGCCTTTAAAGTAATTGCTTTTGCCCTCATTCTGTATGTATACATGTAAAAATACAGAAAAGATAATGACAAACATATCCCACTGAGGGAACACTAAAGAAAAGATTTAATCCTTTTGCGTAGGCCTAGGTAAGAGAAAGACCGCCGAAAAGAAGACTAAAGCAGGTATGGAAGGAGAGAGACTGGGAGAGCGTAGGCCGAACCAATCTCTAGGGATAACGTAATGTCGTCATTGGCGGCAAATAAAATGGCGTTCTATATATGTGAGCGTGTGACGAGCAAGCAGTAAAGAGAACTTGCCCAGATATCAGTTGCGTTTGTTATCAGTGCAAATACAGTCAGCCCCAGAGACTTTTCCTCGATGTAAAGTTCTGGAAGAATAGTATCCACGGCATCGATAAGGATGACCGCAAGAATATAATACAGCAACGTTGCAGTAAGCATTATGAACAAGCTCTTCCTTCTGCTCCCGTTTGGGACGTGTTGCGTCGTATCTTAGGGGAATTAGTGCTTTTCTGTAATTCTAGAAGGATGAGTCGCTGGCAGTGCCTGATCAGTCTGTTGACTGAGTTAAAGAGCTTTAGAAGTCACATTACACCTTGTTGGGCTGATTACTCCAGATGATGACGCCCTGTGATTCTTTCTAGAACATGATGGCCTTCGATGGACATATTAAAGGTCCGCCGTGTGTCTTTGGTGGGAAGTAATAACCTCTCGCTGGGCAGAGGATCTACGAGCATGAGTGCTTTCGCCCTCATTCCAGATCACCGCTGAATGCGTGCGCAGAGTGAACCACAGCCTGATAACATATGCTAGAAACAGTAGAACGGAGCAGAGGTAGCTGAATGGTCTAAGCATTTCAGCGTACAGAGTATCATTCATGTCCAACGGCTGTGATACAGAACACGTACGACAACCGCTGCTGGGTGCCAGGGCATCAGGCATGTTGTGTGAACAGCTTTCACAACTCATTACATAAGTCCCGTAAACTGTGTAAAATAGTATAGGGTTAAACACCTCCATTATTGTAAAGAGCAGCATCGTTGAAGTAAACACTGGGAGACTTTGCATTGAATCGTTGTGTCTTCCGCCTGAGTGCACCAAAGCACATAGAAATCCCAGGAAGAAATAGGACACCTGCCAAGATACTTCGGATGATGCAACCCTCGACGAGCTTGCCTTTTCTGCATCCGATTGCAACGCAGTAGAATACGACCTCGAAAATGGTAGAAAACATGGCATTGAGGGCCGCACTAATGCCCATGGATGACTGCGTCGAAATCGAAGCCACTACTTGACCAATGATATAGACTAAGGGAATAATTCCTAAAAAGCTACCCAGGAAGAACATGCTAAGTGGGTGAAAGACTGAGCGGTTCAAATCCTTGGCTAACGTCGCAACTATGATGACCACGATCATAGCATAGGTGCGGATAAGATAAGAGTTGGTCGTTGTCAGAGCTGGCACAAAAGGGTGGATGGCTGTTATATGATGTCGAGGCCTTTCTTTGGCTGTCCGGAGCTCGAAGATTGATCAGGGTGCATCTTACTGACTTGCTAAAAGGATAGAAGACGAATCCTGCTAATCCATAGAGAACCCGTCCATATGTTGGTTGGGTGTGCGCGCTCGAAAGTGTCACGCAGATGATCCCGCCCAAGAATATCAGGAAACCTAACCACCAGCCAGAAAATAGTGTCCGGAGAATGTTGAACACGAAAGTGCAATTATAAACATCGTGGTCGGGTACCGAATCATCCTTGCCATCAGCTGCGGAATTATCTTCATGATAGAGTGGTGGATTCCAAACCCTAATACCAAAGGGTTGTATTCTGTTGATGGCCTGTTGGCGATCCTCTTCAGTCGCAACGTCGTCTTGATCCCCGTCTGACAGGCTCTCGTCGATTGTTTCGGATGAAGTCGTTGTCGATATTATTCTCGTGGGTCGACGAATGTGATGCTGTGTGGATATTGCTCCTGAGGGCGCGAAATGTTGACTTTCGGCAAGTTGAACGACGACGAGGATAGTAAAGAAGGCTACCAGTACTGGCGGATGTGGAACTCACTGTCCCAAGCTCATCGCCACCCGAAAATGGGTAATTAAGTGGAGAGGTCACGTCCGCGGTAGGCGGTGCATGGGGTGACATAATGACGTTCAAACGACAAGAGACAGTATTAATAGCTGCATGAAGTAAACTGAGTTATATAACTATAAGGCTATTAATAACCGCTAGTACTTAAAGTGACCTAAAAGGCTCTTAGTAAAGGAACTTTAGTAAGTGCTTTATTTACAGTTATGTTTCCCTCTGGCTCCCTAGTTTAATAGATAGGTATTCTGGGCATATGCAAGTATGAGTTCCTAGCTGATTAAGCAGGCCAGTTGCCTATACTTCGTACTAAATAGCAGTAAATCCAGTTTTCCAGTTAGTAAAGATGTAATTTTATGCCAAAATAGGGAAAAACTTATTAAGAATTAGCAAAACTATAGTGCCTGACTTTAATAATAGAAAATAAATATAATTTAAAAGTAGAAAATTAATATAATATAAAATTATAAAAGGCAATTTAATAAAATTAATATTATTAAAATATTATAAATCTAAATAATTTATTATTTTTATTTTAAATATATTAGTGATTTATTTATAATAATAATATAAACCTAATATTAAAAGTTAATTAAAAGGTATTATAAAAGTAAAGAAAGTTAATAGTTTAATTAACTATATAAAGTCTTTTTTTATTTTTATATAAAGAATAAGTAAAATATAAGTTTTAAAGAAAAAAAGAACTTTAAAAATAAGGTTTATATTTAAATTATAAGATTTTAAAACTTTTATTAATATAAATTTCTTTTTATATTAATTTAAATTATTATATATTTACTAATATTACTTTTAATAAATTCTAGTAATAAGTTACTATTATCTAGCCCTTATAATATATAATCCTTCCCTTCTTCCCTATTCCCTACCTTATATATTAAATTTTACAATTTCCAAAGATCTATCAGCTAATATTAACCTATCAGTCTTTTTAACACAATCGCTTCGAGGTCAACTCTATTTAATTATTATCATTAACTGTTTAAATGGCTACGGGCACCTTCTACTCATTTCCCCAAATGCCCATCTAACTCCGGCTCCAAATTTGGGCCGACGCTTACGTCCCTCACAGGTCACGTATTTGTGACGTTCACTACGTTGACATCGATGACAGCAATGGCGATCTGGTTCCCCTCTCTTTCTAAGACTCTGACCTGGCCAGCCAATCCGCTTATCTGAGAGACGGAGGCCTGTGGTCTGCATGCTAAGAGTCAAGGGACATTATCGCCCGGCACTTTCACTTGCTTATCCGCGAAACTGGAATGCAGCATGCTATCCCAATGGGGAGCGACAGAGCAGGATGGTTTCGTGCTTACCCAACTCATGATATCTTCTGCATCAAGGCCAGGAGCTGGAAATCTTTGCAAAAGGATTCACTAGTTATCAACGCTGCCATTGGCGGTGGTGCGCGAAACATTGCATTTGAGTACGATCCATCCTGGAACGTCAACCTTCCCAAGACCTATTACGATTTTTTCAAGGAAGATTCTACGCGGAGTACTCGCGCGTGCCCTCTAGGATTAATTTATGCACAGCAAATATGACCGACTAAAAATCTGGATTATTAACAGAACTACTGAATGGTCAGACCACTACTGCTGGCCTCTCGAAAAGAACGCGGAACATCACGATTGCCACGGCGACTATGTCGAAATAAGCTTGGGAAACATACACGTTCTGAATCAATATAGCCCATCTCGTTGGTTCAAACAGTTCAGATACAAGCTCAACCTGCTTGGCGAGAATTGTGAGCAGGATCACAGCAGCTACCAACCCTCGTATGATGATGATATCCTCGATTCTGGATTTAGCTCAGTTTTTGAGATCACGGAGTGTCTGAAGCTTCTAGTGTGCAGAGATAAAGAAGTAAAGTCGTGTCCCTACGATGATCCGTGCAGGCGCCTTTGAGGCGGTGGATAACGGCAATGGAGTCTTCAAATGTGGTGTCCTGGTCAGATGGAATGAGGAAGGACATCTTCGTATCTTTGGTGTTTCTTAATGTTATTTACCTTTTGGTATCTGTCACGACCTTCTCTCGCCACTCTTCCAACTGACAGTTTGGAATGTTATAAAATTATTTCAATATAGTAAGAATCTTCCTTCCGTCTTCAGTGCTGCATTGTTGGAAAAGCAAATTACATGGTTTGACAGTAGTATTTCCATTATGCCCATGTTATAGTAGCATTCTTCACCGATTGAAAAGGTCCCGGGAACGCTTATGCTTCCCAAGCTGCAGAGTACAAGTGCGGAGGAGAAATGAATTAATCTTGGATGGCTTAACCCGATGTCTTTCAAGTTGGTCTACAGCCAGGCGCGGTATGGTTATTCAGTGTTTGGAGCACTAATTGGCTATTTGCCTAGACAGAAAGTGTCGGCCCTTTCTTTGGTACAATGCATTAGCCATATCAACAAAACATCTTAGTATTACCCCTTTGGCCAAATAGTGCCGAAAGTCCATCTCTGCACAACCTGGCCAGGAAGACGTTATTAGATGCTGAACTGTAAGTTGAAGTTGTGATATAGGCAATACAAACAGCTAATAATTAAGTTTATCAAAGAAAACAGTATTAAAACCTTCTAGGTAACTATTTATAATGTGTCGGCCCCTAATGATAAAAACAGGCAGGGGATTTTAAATACTATTCTATTTCTAGTAAAAGAGAAACTAGCAGGGGTATGTACAAGCTAGTAGGCAGTTGTAAGTTTTACACTTTTACCGAATGTAAGCTACGTAAAAGGAATGTATATAGTCCTACACTAACCCTAAATAGGGTAAAGAATGCGAGATCTTATTTATACATTTTACCTTCCTATTCTGGTACTGCTATGAAAGCTAGCACAAAGACCTGGGGAGCATTTATACTTCACTTAACGCCATCCAGCACCGCTGGATAACTAACGACTCTTTGTAGTACTAGGTGAATCATCATGACTACATTCGACTACTTTTCCCATGTTGAACTACCCACACCAACGCTGCCTCTCGAAGAGGCATGTGCCCTCTTACACCAAGAGTTTGGCATTGCTGCCAACTTGCGGCCACTTGGCAGCCAGCAGGACCAGAACTTTCTCGTCCTAACTGCCGCCGATACCGAGCCGTTGGGCGTGCTCAAGATCAGCAACCCCGTCTTTAGTGGTTTGGAGATTGAGATGCAGGATGCCGCCGCCATTGCCGTTGCCCGTGCAGAACCATCCCTGCGTATCCCTCACGTCATTGAGGGACCGCAGGGTGTCATGTCGGGGTGGTGGCAGACCAGTCAGGGACGTCTACACTGCCGCATCATCTCCTTCGTGTCAGGTACCACACTGACCGGCTCACACTACCTCAGCCCGGCCGTGGTGCAACGGCTGGGCGAGCTATCAGCCGCGATCAGTGTGGCCCTGGCAACTGAGACCCATCCTGCTTCGGGACGTACCTTGCAGTGGGATTTACGACATGCCGAACGGGTCATTGACGCCATTACCGCCACTGAGCCCGATGTCGACGTGCGAGCGCTTACCGCCGAAGCCAGCCAACACGCGTTAACGTTGCTACGCCCAATATCAGATCGCCTGCCACGTCAGTTGGGCCACTTTGACGTCACTGACGATAATGTCCTGCGTCCGGATGGCAATGTCCTCAGCCTCCCAGATGCCGTGATCGACTTTGGCGATGTGATTGAATCGTGGGCGGTGGCAGAGATTGCCATCACCGTTTCCTCGATGCTACACCACGCCGATGCCTGCTTCCGCACCGTGTTGCCGGCTATCGTCGCATTCAATCGACGACGCCATCTCAGTGATGATGAGATTACCGCGCTATGGCCGTTGGTGGTCCTGCGTGGGGTCGTTCTGGTGCTCAGTGGACGTCAACAGGTGCGTCTCGACGTTGATAATGAGTATGCCAAGCGAGCGCTGGACCGCGAGTTCACGATCCTCCGTCGCGCCACTGAGGTGCCATTGGAGGTGGTTACCGCCCAGATACGCCATACGCTGGGACGCCCCGACGCTATAGCGCCGCGCTGGAGCGGCAAGTCGATCCTGGCAGCGCCACGATCGGCGGTAGTTCTAGATGCCTCTACTCTCTCGACGTTGGCCGACGAGGGAGCTTGGCTTCAGAATGATGCGATAGAGCGTGCCGCACAGCACTTACTGGCCCAGGGTGCTGATATGGTCGTGCTACCGGCCTTGCGACCAGCGCTGCTGGGTGCCCCAGCCAGGACACCAAGCCTACCCTCCACGGTCCCTACTTCGGCGGCCGCCTGGTTCGCCGCTGCGACCACCCTTGAAATACCTGCCAATCTATATGTACGACAAGGTGGGACGGCTCTGCCCGTGGGAGTAGCGACAGTTGCAGCCGGCAGCCGCATTGACGTGCTGCTGACCGCGCTTGATCCAGTTAATGTGCCAAGCGCGATCCCTGCCTTCGATCTGCCTGGGTGGAGCGTGGTGATTGGAGATGCAACCGCAGCGCTGGGCGTAACGCCGCCCACAAGTGATGTGGACGATGAAGGTCTGCTGGAACGGCGCGAAGCAGTGGTGGCAGAGGTACAGGAGCACTACTATGCCCGTCCACCACAGATCGAACGGGGCTGGCGCGAATACTTGATGGACGTCCACGGTCGTGTCTACCTCGACATGGTCAACAATGTCGCCTCGGTAGGCCACGCCCATCCTCGCATTTCCTCGGCTGTCGCACGGCAGACCCGACTGCTCAATACCAATTCGCGCTTTCACTATGCCGCCATCACGCGCTACGCCGAACGGCTCGCCGCTCAACTGCCTGATCCGCTTGATACGGTCTTCTTTGTTAACTCGGGCTCTGAGGCGGTCGATCTAGCCATTCGTCTGGCGCTAGCGGCCACTCAGCGTCACGATGTAGTGGCCATGGCTGAGGCCTACCACGGTTGGACTTATGCCAGCGATGCCGTTTCCACGTCGATCGCCGATAATCCGCACGCGTTGCAGACACGGCCCGACTGGGTGCACACCGTCGAGGCGGCCAATGCCTACCGCGGACGTTATCGTGGAGCCGAGGCCGCGAAGAACTATGCCACTGACGCGGTGGCACGTCTGCAGTCGTTGGCCGCCGAAGGGCGTGCGCCGGCCGCCTTCCTGAGCGAGACCTACTATGGCAACGCCGGCGGCATAGCGCTGCCTTACAGGTACTTGCGCGAGGTCTATACGGCAGTACACAATTTGGGCGGAGTGACTATTGCTGATGAGGTCCAGGTGGGGTTTGGCCGTCTGGGCTCTTGGTTCTGGGGCTTCCAACAGCAGGATGTTGTGCCCGATATTGTGGCGGTGGCTAAGTCTATTGGCGGTGGCTTCCCGTTAGGCGCCGTAATTACCAGCCGCACTATTGCTGATCGATACCGTAGCCAGGGGTACTTTTTCTCTTCTACTGGTGGATCACCTCTGTCATCAGTGGTGGGACTCACGGTGTTGGACATTATCGAAGAGGAGCAGCTGCAGGCGAATGCGCGGATCGTTGGTGCCTGCCTAAAGTCGCGGCTGCAGGGGTTGGGCAAATGTCACCCCCTCATAGGCACCGTGCATGGCGATGGCCTGTACCTGGGCCTCGAATTTGTGCGCGACCGCACCAGCCTGGAACCGGCAACGGAGGAGACCAGGGCCATCTGCAACCGGCTGCTGGAACTGGGAGTCATCATGCAACCCACCGGCGATCACCAGAATGTGCTGAAGATCAAACCGCCGCTCTGCATTACACAACAGTCCGCTGACTACTTTGTCGACATGCTGGACCAGGTACTCTCGACAGGATTCTAGAAGGGACACTTTCTCAAGAGAATTAAAATAGTTATAAGTCAGGGCCTGGCAACGAAGTGGTGGCGTTAACTTGGTGAGACTGGATATAGCTATGTTGAAGTATCTTGCGTGCTTGAGTGGTACTGCATGTAACGGTTGGGGTTCTGTTAAACCGAAGTAAACATGTGTATTCTATTACTTAATCCCGCTTTTGGGATTAGCACTAAGTCAATGACCATATGGCTTAGATTGTCTCAGAATCAGGTCATGGCTGCAGTTTTCCGGTTATCAGGACACTACAGCATAAGCTAGAAAGAAAATGTTATATTCACCCCCTAGCTATTAGTACCATAGTACTGTGACATATTTCCAATCGACATCATGTCCTCAAAGCTAACAATACGATCAAGCCCAAGGAAGTCGTTATTCATTAAAGTTTAAGATATAGTGAATAACTCATCCTTGGATATTGTAGTTAAGGATTGTGAGTCTACATGCCATTGGTTGTCGGTCAGCTGGTTTGGATAATCCATTCTGGGTGTCAGGTTATTGACAGTTGGTGGCAGATTGGTCTTCGTGGAGGCGTGATTATTTCGGGAGGGTCCGGGGCTCTCGATTCTCGAACTGAGAACAGGGCCTTCAACTTCAAGTTCCAAGACGGATACTTGCATGCTTTGGCCAGTAACTGCTGTTTAGGTATGTTGGTGCTGACTTTACAGACTGTTAAATAACTGGTTAAAAAAGTTAGGAGTTTTACTTATTTGATCTACCTGTTTAAGGCCAGCCTATCAATTAGATATATCTTTTAAATTATTTATTAAATACTTAAATTCCTTAGCTAAAGGTATATTATAGTATTAAGAGTGAACTGCAAGACTGTATTAAATATAGTTATATAAGTATTCTGGTATCTTACCTAATAGGGTTCTAGCACTAATAAAAGCATATATTTTTATTTATAGTAATATAGTATAAGCCAATAGGTAACCCCTAAGATACTAGGTTATTATATTTACTATCTTTATAGTAGCATTAAGGCAGTTCTTAGCATTAAAACTATTAGGGAGATTTAAGTTAAAAAGCTTAAAATTTAGGTATATAATACACTTATAAAGGAAAATAATAGATATATTATATATTGCATTAGCTAGTATTATACTAAGGTCTATAATGCCAGGTATTATTTTATATAATATACTAGAATCTTTCTACTACTAAGGTAAATATATTTTCTAACTAATTTTATTAGTAATAAATATAACTTAAGAATAGCACCTACTATACTAAATAGAGATTAAGTTCCTTAAACTTAATTAGCCAGAGAGAAACCTTATATCTATTAGTAAAGTCTACAGAAGGTTATAGAAAGCTATTTAATATCTAATAAAGTAAATTAATTAACTAAATATAATAGGCTAAGGCGCCAATCTTAAATATATCTTTAGTTACCTTATTGCTAGCCTAAGTATTGCCAGTCTTTATTAGTCTATTAATACTACTAGTATTACTTTTAATAGAATAAGGACTTATCCTATAACTATTCTATATTACTAGCTTATTTTAGTTACTAAAATAGGATATAATAGCTAGCTTATTATAGAACTAGCTTCTGCTATATATAGGCAGTCTTTAGTAAATATCTACTAAATTAAGGCCTAAACTTTAATAGGTTAGTAGTAAGAGAATAATAAGTCCTTACCCTTTAATAATAGATAAGATTCTATTAAGAATAAAGATATTCTAAAAGATCCTTCTTCTTTCCTCTTCTTCTAGCTAATCTTATGGCTTTATTAATAATAAACTATTTAATAAAAGTCCTCTCTTATATTAATATACTTTAGGTTTAAGAGATAGTCCTATATATTTAACAGTCCTTATTAAAGACCTAATAATAGGCCAGGCCTTCTTTAAGTTGCTATTTCTAATCTAAAATCTTAATTAAAGTGCTAAAAAGTTAAGAATTACAGTATATCTTAATAAATATAACTATAATAAGTGCTTAAAGATTCTCTATCTTAAGGCCCTTTATTGTATTTATTATTATAGTATTTTATAGCCTTAATATCTCTTTATCGATAAAAGTATTATCTAGTAGGTTAACATTAATCTTAATATAATATAAAGATGCTATTATTATTACCTTAAGTATAATTATTATATACTGCTTAGTCTCTTAATAAAGTTAGTTATAAAAGCCTTTTATAATAAGTATTAATATCTATAGCTAGATATTATTAAAATATACCTTAATTAGCTTATTTAAATAGTCCTAAATAATATTAATTCTATATAATAAATCTTAACTAGTCTATTATTAAGTAAAGTCCTTATTACTATATTTAGGCTAATCCTTAGCTTTATCTTGCCTTTATCTTTTAAAAAGTTTAGTAACCTTTCTATATAGATTATACTTATACTATCTTTTATAAGTTAGCCTAATATTCTAATTTAGCTTTTATAACTTACTAATAAGTATTAAAAGGACTGCCTCTAGAGACATTAAGTTAAAGTTATTTATCCTACTGCCAGAAAGATTATACTTTATGCCTTTAGATTCTTATATACTTTAGGTATAGCCTAAGCTAAATAATGCTTTCTTAACCTTTTCTATTATTTTTAATAAATATACTTTCTTATATAGCTATATACTTTACTTAATATATACCTAATTGCTAATTAAGACTCTTAATAGCACTACCTTTTAAGCCTGGCTTTATTTAATAGTTTTTATAATAATAAGGTATACCTAAATAACGTAAATAAAAGGCCTATAGCCCTGCTCTTTATTATAAACTTATCTAATTGCTTATAATTAAAGTAAGTTAATCTCTATTTAGAATACTTAAGTTTCTATTTTTAGTAGCCACTATAAGATAGAAGCTTGGCTTTAGGGAAGTTATTATATAATAAATCTATAGTATCTAGAAGTAATATAAAAGTTAGAATAAGGTTAATTTATTTTTACAGTCGGCAAACTTGCCGCTAATATGGCTGGCTAGCTGCCTTGGCTCCAATCTGAGTGGAGGGCGTCTGGTATTGTTTATTCCCCACTTGACTTTGCTGCGATTCATTTGCTAGCTGTATTACCCCGCAAACCGACTCGTGAGTCATTATTGGCGACGATGATTGGCGGTTATTAAAGTGGAATGCTGTCATGAGGACTGTGGCAGGGGACCAGTTCTTGTGCTAGAGCATATTAGGAACGATCCTTACATAATCATCGGCCGATACTTTAACCGAGGATAAGCAAAGCTCTTCAGGGTAATTCTTGTGCTACCTATTGCTGCCATGACTCTCCAATCAAGGAAACTTATAATCTGGTTTAGAGATTAAATTGCCAGTTTGCAGTTCCACAGGATAATTAGAGATCGGATACCTGTGCGGGTAATGGCTGCTTACTCTAAAGGATCCCATCCCTACCCAGTAGAAAAAGGTCCATTTCCAGGATTTTATTAGCAATATGTTCTCTCGATTAACATTTAACATGTTTTGACATGACCGCGAATTCGGCCGCAGCACCTTGTTCATTGCAAACTTTCACTATACTTAAACCCCAGGCTAACGCTTCTTAAGAGCTTATCTTACTAAATGGCATTTAGAACTTTACCCTCACTAAATCAGTTAACATTAATGCTAAAAGAGCCTAAAAACGAAATATACCGCTAAAACTCCAAGTTTTTATTCCTGCTAACTATAATAATATTTTTATTAATTTAAATATTTATAATTATATTAAATAGGTTTACTACTAAAGGCACTTTACTATCTTATTAAACTGGTTTTAATAGTATTACTTTCTATATTTTAATGCTACTATATATTAAGGGTATATATACCTTAATAATTAGTTTATAGCTAAATATATTAAGGGCTATATACTATTTAAAACTAATATCTTAGATATTATTTAGCCTAGTAAGTAAGCTTACCTTACTATAGCAGTTAATAATAAACTTAACTGGTATACTATTTTACTAAAAAGAATAAAAATACTTAAAAATAGTAAGTAAAAGTAATATTATTAATATAACTTCTTTAACTATATAGGTCTTATAAGATCTATATAGCTATTTATAGTTCCCAGTATCTCTATTAATAATATTATAGTTATTATAAAGGTAAAAGGGACTATTAGTATTATAGACTTTTATATTACTATAAGTATCTTTTTAGACCACTACTTAATTAAAGTGATACTTTTAGATAAAGATAAATATCCTATTAGTTACTATTTTAAGTTAAATAGCTCTTTAATTGCTAAATTAGTTTATTTTTAGTAATTAGGAGTAATATATCTTTACTAACTTTATATAGAAGTATTCTTTAGGAGTATAGTAATAGATATTTATAAACTACCAGTAGGGATAAAAACAGTTAAGGTCTCTAGAAATAAGTTTCTTATTAATAGAAAGCTATTTTATTTTATAGGATTTAATAAATATAAAGATATATTAATCTAAGGAAAAGGTTATAATTTAGCCTATATAATTTATAACTTTTAATTAATATAGTAGATAGAAGCCAGCTCTTTCTAAACTTTTTATTACCTATATATAGAAGAAGTTCTTAAGTATATAGACCGTTATAATATTATTATAATTAATAAGATAGCTGCAGTTAGTCTTAACCTTACTATTATTACTAGGCTCTTTAGGCATAAGCTAATATCGATATTTTTACTAGAGATAATAAACAATAAAATATATACTTTTTATACTTAAGCAATATATAAGCTAATTACTTATAATAAAAATCACCTTAATATTATAATATAGATAATTATAAATAAGCCTGCAGCCAGTAAGCCTAATATAAAAGAGTATATAGAGCTACTTATAAAACTAAACTGTAAATTAGATCTAATAAGGCCTATATACTTTACTAATAAGAATTAAGTAAATATCTATATTAATCTTATTATAGATCTTTTTAATATAATATACCTTAATAGATACTATAGCTAGTATCTTAATATAGATAACCTTAAAGAAGTAAAGTAAGGTCTAAAAGAATATTTATAGAGCTAGGAGGGTAAATATAATAAACTAATTATTATAATAGAATATAGCGCTAATACTATAGCTAGGCTATATACAGTTAAAGATATTCCCTAAAGTAAGGAATATTAAAGTTAGGTCTTAAAAATATTATATTAAGTATTTAATAGGGTAGAGAGTATTATTAAAAAGTAAGTATAGAATTTTATAGATTTTTAGACTCTATCTAGCTTTATTTTTAAGGTAGATAGTAATAAGAAAGGCGTATTTATGCAGGATTAAAGACTAAAGAGTGCTATATAGGTACTTAAAAAGAGGTGGACCGAGATGGCAGCTGTTAGTTAGAACTATATTTTAAATAGATTAGCATGATTATCCATAAGCATTATTAAATTAAAAGTTATCTTAATTGCCATTTTCCTATTAGGAGCAAATCCCAAAGTATACTACTAGCTCCTTAAGCGCAATACTAAATTAAATAGATATTGTTCTTTATAAGGCAGGCATTTCTATTAAACCTTACGCCAAATCGTTTTATATTACGACCCTAGCAGTTATATTATATACCTAAACTATATCCCACTTTTTTATTTAATCCTAAATATCTTTAACCTTAAGACTAAGGGATATATAAGAAGACTAATTAAATAAGGACTAATAGAATAAGGAAATAATAGCGCTTTAAGACTGTATTATTTTAGGACTGATAATAACTTTATATTATATTACTTCTATATAGGCTATTTAAGTATATATATATTTATTTAGTAATAGATAGAACTTAACTTATTAGCTATTAATAATACTTTTTTACCTTAATAAGCCTTACCTATACTATTAACTATTAAGAGATATAACTAAAACTAATATATTTAGTATAATGCCTTATATAACCTATAAATATAAAAACCTAATATAGACTAGTTTCTCTATTTAAAACCTTAATTATTATATATTAATAGCTTTTATTTAAAATATATTGCATTAAATAACTAAATAATATTATACTATTAAAATATCTAGTAATACCGGTTTAATACCTTTTTATATTAAAGCCCTATTTAGTAATACTAAAATAGCAGCTAAAGTTTAATAGCTTTATAATTTAATTTAGACTCTATAAATATAGATAAATAATTAGTAAAATGCTATAATAGCTAATAATAGTGGTAGTAAGTAATAAGGCAGAGACCTTAATAAAGCTTTAAAACTACCTAAACTAGAACCCTTTAAAGGATAAATAACTAATATAATCTTATTTCTTACCTAAATAAAAGGATACTTTTACTTATTTCTTAATAAATTAAATATTACTACTAAAAAGCTTTTATTTATTATATCTCTAATTTAAAAAAGTATTAAAGAATAGTTTAAATTTATTATAAAAGACTATCTTAAGAATAAAAAGAATCTTTAAGACTAAAATACCTAAAATATTTTTACAGATTAAAATAACTTTAAATAAGCACTTAAAGATAATTTTAAAGTAATTAATAAAAAATAATAAGTTATAGCTAAACTGCTTATACTTAAATAATAAAAGTTATATATTATATATTTTATTAAGTTCTATTAGCTAGTAGTTAAGATTTAGTAAAATAATAATATCTTTATAGAGATTTATTATTAAAGCCTTAAGGAAAAAGTTAAAAATAAATTATACCTTATAGATAGACCTAAAGACTTAATTATTTATATTATTATAGTAATTAAAATTAATAAATAATAGTATAAATATAAATAAGAGAAAGTAAACTATAAATATAAAGATAATTTTAATCTATATTACTTTAATTAATAATATAATAATAATTAAAATAACTTTTATAATTAAGGATAATAATAAGGTAATTAGTAAAATAATATTTTATATAGAATATATTTAAGATAGATAATACTTAAAGTAATATAGCCTAAAAATAACTAATAATAATAAGATATATTTAAATATAAATACTATAACTATAATTAGTTTAAATATATAGTATAATAATACTTAAAATTATATAAATTATAAGACCTTAACTAAAGTAAGTAAACTTTAGAATTAACTTAATAGCTTAAACTGTAGATAGCCTAAAAGACCTAGATATTAGGAATAATATAAAGTATATATAATATAGTAAAAATAACTGCCTTATATAAAGATAATATGCCTAAAAAAAGATAGAACCTAAATAAAGGAAGCTTTATTAAGAAACTATAAGATAACTTCTCTATATATAAAAAAGCTAGTATAGATAAACCTAATAAAAGAACCTATAAAAAGTAAAATTAGATTTAATAAAAATACTATATATAAAGAATATTACTTAAAGAAGAGTATTATAAGAAGCAGGCTATCTATAAAGAAAATTAAAAAAAGAAGATTTAAAATAATATAGAACTTAAAGAATAAATTAATACTAAATAAAGATAATAATAATAAGAAAAGAAAAAGGCTAAAAAATAAAAAAATATAGTAAAACTATAAGTTTTAGGAATAATAAAATAAGGAAGTCTA